CACCCACCAACACCCACACCCACACCCCACACCCACCCACACCCACACCCTCGAAAATGAAAATATTGAAGACAACAATAAAAAACATGTTGCAAGATATAAATATTGAAAACGACAATACATGAAGATACCAACACACTCACCCTGATCCATACTGTTGCACCACCATTTTAATTTATCAATTTTGGTTTCGATATTTTCTGTTTCGACATTTTTACCTGTCTACCATAGTAGAGTTTACTAGTCATGTTGGTCATATTGCATGTGATATTTACGAGCAAAAACTACAACATATTTGAACTCAACAGAAAAAAAAACTCGAAAAATTTGATGTCAAACTGCATGAAAGAACTATGGGAGCAGTGTTCTTTATAAGAATGATGACTGAAAGTATACAACAATGAAGTATTTTTGTTTTTCAAAATGTATAGACAAAGGACGTGCGCTTGCCGTTAGAAACACTGTATTTGAGATACATATTTGTACAGACTGCATATAATTCAAGTGAAAAGATCAAAACGTAGACGGGTGAAAGTGAATTCAATATTTAATGATGATTAACACGGTAACAGACGTTAAAAATAAGAAGCATTCAAGAAACATCGTTAAATACCTTCACGTGTGAAAACGAATGTAATATTTAACGACATGTAACGACTTAGCTATCGTTAAAAATACAATCACGCGTGAAACAGCGTGAAAAGTCTAACGCATTTTCACGAATTTCCGAAATTTAACGAAAGTTCATGGATTTTCTTCGTAATACTTCGTTAATTTATCTTTTTGCTCAAATCTTCGCGTTAATTTCAATCATTTCTTCGATAAATGTTCTTTTTTATTGTGACATTTCTAAGATATTGAAAACCTACTGAGTAGATAGTTTCAACGCTATAATAATAAATATTTCCAGTTAATGGATATGACTACCATCTATCGGTCTTTACATTCATTACACATCTTATGAACAAAAGCAACAAAGGATATTTTTATTATAATAGTATAACATTATATGCTTTGTCAGTTATATATGTTTGCCCTTAGTTGTAAGGTCGATAATGCTTACGTGCTATATTATCCTTACAAATATTTTTTATCTTTAAACACAAAGTTTTTTTTTAGATAAATATAATATCATCTTATAGTTTTATTTATGGCTGACAAGCAGAAAAAGTTTGATGCATGTTTAATTCGTACAGGTAGTGATAATTTTATTGTTGCTGAATGGCATCAGTTAGTAACAACTGCTAATAAATCAAAACTTACTGTTGGATCATGTGTGGGATATAAAAGATCAGCAAAGAAACGGGAAAAGATTATTCGTGGCACAATTATGATTATTGGTTTGTTGTAAGATATGATTTCATATTTAAATATCTTTTTTAAGGTTCGCTGAAAGTATGTGAAAAACAAAAAGAATTATTCATGGCAAAGGTTAATAGCAAAAAGATTCCGGCACAAAAGTTTAATGAAAAAGATGAATGTGCATCAGAATCAACTGGTATTTCGAATAGTAAAAATGAATTACAATCAAACGACGAAGACTCGTCTGACTCGAATGATGCATGTTTGGAAATTGATACTGAAGAGGAAGAAAGTTGTACGTACGCCTTATTATGTTGAGCAAGCTAATGTATGTCATATTTTAGGTGATGAAAATGAATCAAAACAGATTCAATCTAATGAAGCAACACTCAATCAACCACAAAATAATAATCGATCCAACACATCAGAAACATTATCATTAAGTACTGCTCATATAGGAGGTTGTATCATAAACTTTTTTAAACATTGTTTTCTAACTTTTTTTGTTGTGAAACTATTTAGAAAAAAAAAACTGATTCATGTACACTAAAACGTGTTTATTTTGACAGTGAAGCACAATGCGTAGAAACAAAACGAAAAAAAGTTTCTCTAACTTCTTATGATGAACTTAGAATGGAAAACAATCGAATGAAGAAACAAATTGAGAAATATAAAAAGGAATGGATGCGTAAGTAGTATTGCTTTTAAATAGTTTTGCTATAAAAACTCAGAGGATTATTTTTTTCTACTTCTATATTAACTATAAAAATCTCATTCTTATTTAATTTAAATGTTCATAACATATTCATACCTAATTCAAAAGCTTTTCTCATCTAAAAATATCAAAAGAAAAAATTTTATTCTAGACGTCGTTGCTTTTTAATAAACTTGTAATATTTAATTTGTATAGCTCGTCCAACCGACCCGACTGTTATAAGATATTTTGTGCGTATGGGACAATCATTCTCCTCTCCTGATGATATGGAAGAAGGACAAGGTGAAAAGTTGATCAAGATTTGTGATCGATTAAATATGAGTGAAGAACAATTAAATAGACTACATAAGCCAAACGGTACAAGAACAGCTCGTGCTATTATACGTGCCTGTTATCCACTACATGCTAGAATGGCTGCTCTGGAAGAAGGTATTGATGATGATCTTCGACAAGCTGTTCACGGTAATTTCTTTTTGTCATTTAATACTAAACGGTTTATTTATATCATAGATTATGTCAACATGTTTCATGGAATGGAATGTCTGACGGAGGGAAAAATTAATGAAAGTATTAACAACGTTTTTCGTAGTGCCAAAAGTCAGCAAAAACCAGACGGAAAAAATGAATCTCAACAATTAGGTTTGAATAAATCAAAATTTATTGAAAAAAAGAAAACCAACATAAATAAAGAAAATGATTTACCAACTTATCAATGAAGTATTATTGATTTTAGAAACTTATCTAGGTTTATTTTTGATATTAATTGATAGATTTTATTCATTTATTGCATTTTTCATGTTATATTTGTTTTTTTTTGTATTGGATATTTAGTGATGAACTTCATTTTGTTTTTTTGTTTTTTACCAGATATGTTTGTACTTGTGGGTATATAAATGAACAATAAAAGCTTTAAAAGATGAATAGTTCTGAAAGATTAGAAATTATTGATTTTTTTCTTCGTTGTTATTACAAATTTATCAATTTTACTGAATGATTTTATATACTCTGTAATTGATCATTGAAAACGTTGTCATTTTTAACTTTTTTGAAACAAAATGACAGATAAGATGGCTAATTGGCGACTTAATCGAAAGAACTTCGAGCATCGACGAAGAATGATGCTTCTTGCCAAAGCAAATGGTCGTTTTTGTTTGTTGAAACTTAAAAATTATGCCGATTAGGAAATTTACTTGTTTTTTAAATTTAGTGAAAGAATGCGAGCAGTTAAATGAGGATTTAGCTCAGTTGGCTCAAACTAGCACTGATTTCGTCAATGAATCTACTAGCACTGTTGCTTCCTCTAATGATCAATCGCAACACTATAGTGATGATTTTTCGCTTCCAAATTTTACATATGCAACAATGAATGAGTCTTATGAATCTCAACATCAAGAAAATATGTATGTAATGTTTTGAAAATGCTTTTCGTCATCTAAAGTAGTGCATTACTGTTGATTTCTTCTTTCTCTTTCCTCCCATGCAAAAATGTACATTTGTTGAAATAAATAGAGCAAAATGATGTTATCTTTTCGGTCGTGAAAATGCGAGAGAAAAACCTCTGTTAACGAGCTTTCACGCATATTTTTTTGTTAACAGTAATTAACGTAGAAAAACACATGAAATTTTCTTAAAAGACACCTCGTTTTCACGACTAAAACAGTGTTCTAGTTTTTCGTTACCTCGCTAAATTCGTCAGCGCTTCTTACATAAAACACTCATCACAGAATTTACTGTTGTTTTAGAAACTACTCGTCCTAGAAATAGTGTTCATTGCTCTAACTATATAATTTTCTTTATATATTTCATAGACTTTCGAGAAGTTCAAATTCACTATCAAGACCTATTGAAAAAGTAGATTTAGCTACAACCTTAGTCGCCTTGAAAAATCGTCATTCTTTATCAGCAGTCTGCATCAACGATATATGTTCATTGTTGTGTGTTTTAAAAGTTCCTGACGCTCCTCGTAGTTGGTTTCAAGTTAAAAAAGCACTTAATAAAACATGTGCATCAATTCTTGATCGAACAATGTGGTGGATATGTCCAAGTTGTAAAAAGGCCTCTGATGATAAGTTTACTTGCTCAAATCTTAATTGTAGCTGGCGTTTTGCTCCTCCTGCATCGATGCCAACTTATTTTTATACTTTTAATATACGTGATCAACTTGCTTCAGTATTAGCCACCACATCAGATATGCATTTACCGAAACGCACAAATGCTACACCACATGCAATTTTATCAATGAAAGATATTATCGATGGTAATTACTATCGAAAACTACTAAATGAAGAATCTGATGACTTTTTAACACTAACTATGAGTACAGACGGAATACAACCATTTAAAAGTACTGAGAAATCGATATGGCCTGTAACTTTTATAATTAATGAAATTAAACGTAAAAAGCGATTTAGCTTCCAAAATTTAATACTTGGTGGAGTTTGGCCTGGTCCTACAAAACCAAAGCGATTTGAAATGTCAGCTGTTTTGGAAACAATTATTCTTCAACTTAAACAGTTGGAGAAAGGATCTTATTTTGAATGTTGTTCAGATGCAGGCTACATTTCACGATTTTTAAAAGTTTTTTTGATTTGTGCATGTATGGATAAACCAGCACAGGCACTGGTACAAAATTTACCCGAGCCAACTGCAAAATTTGGATGTGGAAGATGTGAAATTCGTGGTAATTTTTTTCCATACACACTTTTTATTTGCAGAAATCTCAGTTAAAAAAGTTGTATAAATTCATCGATTTAGCGACGTTTACTGCTACATTTTTGACAGTGAAAACCCGTTAAGCTATGCCTTTTAGCGAAGTATGACGGATAATTTTACGTTAATCTAACACTAACGGAAAAGTGAGCGTGAAACATCGTCTATTCCATATTTTAACATTTTTTCAGTCAAAAATGTAACATTAAACTTCGTTAAATTTATATAAATTTTTACCTGGGACGTTTAACTAGGCTATAGTGTGCTGTCATCTTACAATTCTAATCATCATATTAATTGTTTTCCTATTGAATACTCCCTGATTCAACCACAATTAAGATCAAATGATCGATATGATTATCTTATTATAATTAAAGAACTAAATGATATTGAAATAGAAAAAATCTGTCGTCATTCACTTGATCGCAAAGCTAAACGTCAACTTAAGGAAAAATTAAGCAAAAATAAGGAGTCTGAACATGGAATTATTGGTCCTTGTGTGCTTCGTCAATTGAAATACTTTGACGTGGGATTTAGTTTTGTGTCAGATAATCTACACAACGTGTATCAAGGTGTAACTGTAAGTAGTCTGCTTGACATTTAAATCAATAATTTTTATTTTTTATAAGAGAAAGCTATTATCTCTTTGGCTTCATGCTGACTATAAACGAGAAGATTGGTCGTGTTATAATCATATTCATCAATTGTCATCAATGCTTCAGTCGTTTCGTTTTCCTTCAACAACTAGTCGGCGACCACGTTCACTACTTAAATTCAAAAAGTTTAAAGCTAGTGAATTCAGAATGGTTCTTCTTTTTGGATTTGTAATCTTCAAAAAAATCTTAAAAGCTAAGTATTACGAGCATTTTCTGAAACTAGTAGTAGCTATTCATTTTTCGGAACACCGAAATATCAGCATGGCCATGGTCAATAGCGTAAAAACTCTTCTTCATGAGTTTCTCGTTGAATATCCAAAACTATACTCAGCTCGACATAATCAACAAGTTGTACACTCCCTGAATCATATTGGACAAACGATTAATGATTATGGCCCATTGACTTCTTACTCTACGTTTCATTTTGAAAACATTTTAGGTGATATTCTGGCTTTTTCCTACCAATCTTTTAAATACGATTTCATTTATGCTTAGGAATGATAATGCGAACTATCAAAGCTACTCGTCGAGAAGAAATCGAAATGATTGGAAGTTTAAATATATTCAGACGTGCATGCTTACAACTTCATGATTCAACAATGAATATTCAACTTCAAAACTACGTTGAAAATATGTTGTTTGGCCGTGGCTATTACGAGTCATCATCAAGTGCGCCTCAAACTCTACATTCAATACGATCCAATAATAGAATCTCCACTTTATTCTCAAATAAAAATCTTCAGTTTTTCAGAACAATCAAGATCGGACGTGTTCGTTATACAACTGCAGACTACTCAAAATCAAAGGCAGTTGACGATTCTGCGGTTCTATTTAGAATTCAACATGCAATTTATTTTGGTTTAATAACTGCTATATTTATTGATGGAGACGGTGAAATTTTACTTGAACTATGGCCACTTTCTGATATCAAAAATTTATCAATAGTTGCAAATGGCCAAAAGATCGGTGTAGAATCAATTCAAGAAGGAAAATTACATAAAAACAATAACTATTATTATGTACCAGTGAATGATATCATTGAAAAATGTGTCTACTGGAAAAAAAACTCTAGTACAGTTTGTTTTTTTCGTTATCCTAATCTTGAAGAATCCTCATGATATATAAAAAAAAAGCTTATTTTTACCATTCCAGATGAAGCCTAAACATTCAGCTCGTACTATGATGATTAGCTAACAACTACTGACTCGAAAATTCAATGCCAATATTTAACAACGATAAACATGTTATAATTTGGTAAAATTAAAAAAACTCAAGAAACATCTTCATGCGTGAAAACGAATGAAATATTTAACGGTAGTTAAAACGGTCAACTTCGTTAAGATTAAAAAACTTCAAAAGATAGCGTTAACTATTTTCATGCGTGTAAACAACGGTAGTTTTTAACGATATATAAAACGATAAAGTTCATTAAAATGACGAAAAACGCAAGGAAAATCGTTAAAAATCTCACGCGTGAAAGCTAATGAAACATTTAATGACATGTAACGAGTTAATCACCGTGAAAAGTACAATCACGCGTGAAAAAGCATGAAAAATCTAACGCTTTTTCACGATTTTTCAATATCTAACGAAAATTTCTGAAGTTTTCCCCGTTAAACTTCGTTAGTTTGTCTTTTAACGTAACTTTTGGCGTTAATTTCAAGACTTGCTTCGTTAAATGCGCATTTCTGTTTTACATGGGCCCTATAGACGGATATTCGAAGGATCTCAATTTCAATGTCGTTTCTCTTCTCGATGTTGTCGACATCTTCCAAATTGATATATTCCCTCACTTACTGCAACATTCTCAGACCCACACAATTCTACTGCCATGAAATCCATGGAGATCTTCGTTGCTGCTGAGAACCATTTTGAACACAACGGAGGTTTTCAGAACATACTCTTTTGTGCCGTTTCACACATCCAGTGCATTTGGCGGCCTTCAAATCGTATACAATCCATCATGGACCACAAGGCTCTGAATACCATATATTTCTTGATTACTTACAATCTTTTATAAGCTATCAAAGACCTATACTAACAACAGCCGCTGCCAGGATATCACAATTTGAACGGGTTGCCCCTTCGAATTCCTTGGAATCCCAGCAATCTGACACAATCCATCATGACCCATCATATTCTCCTTACACCATATTCTTTCCTGTCATCGCACGATTCGACTATGTGGTATCCTCCAACACCTTCATACTCACCAAAGAACCTTACTAGGATACCACAATTTACAACGTTTCCATCTTCAGCATCTTTTGCAATCCTTGGAATCTGCCAAAATTAATCATAATCTACAATATTCTGCATGTCAGACATTGTTTCATTCCATCGACTCCGGGGACTCCTTTCTATCCGCCAAAAGCCCTATGGTGACCATAGGGGTCTTGTGCAGGTCTAGGTTAGCATGGGTTCCCACTTCAGCATCTTCTAGACTTCTTCGAATCTGATAGAATTCATCATGATCTACACTATTCGAAATACCAGACATTGTTACCTAGACTGAAAGGCTAGGGTCTAGAAACGGAACTTCACCTGTGTCTGCCTGTCTGTAACACTTGGTACAACTGACCATTTTTGTGGTACAAGTGACCATTTTCGTGGTATAAAGTACCATAGTAGTGGCACAAGTGACCATTTTCATGGTACAAAAGTACCACTTTGGTGGTGCAGGTGACCATTTATTTGACACAATTGGCCATTTTTATTAGACAGATGACCGTTTCTATGGCTCAAATCAGCATTCCCACGCCACAAACAACCGTTTTTATGGCACAGTTGACAATTCTTATGGCTCAAATGAGCATGTCTGTGTCACAATTGGCCGTGCCTGTATTAGAAATGGCCATTACTTTGGCATAGATCATAATTTTTAGTCGTTATAATTAACTAAAGCATAAACTTTATCATATACATTAGCATCTTTCAATATTTTATCTGAACTATTTGTATATCAGAGATGGGATCGGTTGGCATTTTTGCCAAACCGAACCGACCGTAACTGAAAAATCTCTAACCGAACCAACTGTAACCGACCGAATTTCCTAAAATTTCTCATCGAACCGACCGTAACCGAAAAAGTCTCTAACCGAACCGAACGTAACCGACCGAATATTTAAAAATTTCGAATCGAACCGACCGTAACCGACCGAATCTCAAAAATTTCGTAATCGGACCTCGTTTAGAGAAAGTGAAGTTTAGTTTTTGTTAATTAGGGCATTAGTGCATTATAAATTAGCAACATCAGATCAAACAATAGCAATTACCAATAATGAACACTTAGACAAAGCAAAGAATAAGGCTTATTTCTTGGATCTCCTTACTGTATTGTAACTTCCTTACCTCTCACGACAAATTTAAAAAAATATGTGAGATAATCCGCGTTACGAGCAACAGCTAATTGTTGTACGATTAAATTATTTTTTCTTATGTTTCACTGAAAAAGTCCATTGAACTCAAATGAGATGATTATGTCGATTCTCTCTCACCTAACCGACTATAGCCGACCGAATATTTTAAAATTTCAAACCGAACAGACCGTAACCGAAAAAATCACACACCGACCCGAACGTAACCGACCGAAGGTTTTCAAAATCCCCCACCGAATCGATTTCGGTTACGGTCGGTCGGTTAAAAACCGAACCGATCACATCTCTGCTGTATATATCTATAGTATGTAATCTAGAATATATCACAAACATTAATAATTTCTCTGAAACAGATCATTATACACAGTTAATTTTTATTTCAAAATATAAGGACATACTTGTCATCATTCCTCACTCTAGGGCCAAGTGAATCGACATTCAACGCCGATGTACGTTACTTGTTCTATATCATGAAATCCTTGGAATCACTGAAATCCTCTAAAAGTCCTGCAGTGGCCAAAATGAGTCTCAAAGAGGTCCAGAGTTGCATTGGTTCCCACTCCAGGATCTTTTAGAATCCATATAATCTCATAGAACTCATCATGATCTACAATATTAGAAATACCAGACAACTTTTTCCATCATGGAATCGTTGGTCTTCTATGAAAGTCCTGCGCTGAGCATAGAGGTTCTTAAGAGGTCCAAGGTTGCACGGCTTCCCACTTCGGAATCTTCTGAAATCCTTCAAATCTGATAGAACTCACCATGATCTACAATATTCCAAAAGCCAGACATTCTTCCGTATCATCGAATCCTCGGAATTCTTCGTATCGTGTGAAAGTCCTAAGGAGACCACATGGGTTTTACGGAGGAGCAGAGTTGCATGGGTTCACATTTCACGATCGTTTGGAACCCCTCGAATCTGATAGAATCCATCATGATCTACTATATTTGAAATACCAGACTTTGTTTTCACTCATGAGCACTTGCAATCTTTGGCATCGTATGAAAGTCCTATGGAGACCATAGGGATTTTAAGGAGGTCCACATTTGCATGGGCTCCCACTTCGGCATCTTTTGGAATCCTTCGAATCTGAGAGAATTCATCGTGATCTACAATGTTCCAAATGCCAGACTTTGTTTCCTCCCATAGAATCCTTGCAGTATGCGGTGAAAACCCAATGTTTTCGTTTTGAGGAAAGTGAGCCAGGTGTCCGTGGTGTTTTGTTGTTTCCGTTTTTATGTGTGTTTACGGTTTCCTACTATAGAATATGTGTTTTTATATCTAATTATGGTCAGTTTTATTTTTGTGGATTAAAATATAAGTAAAATATAGTGTGAATTAATTATTACTTATGTTAGTTATTTAATTAGTTAATTGGGTGAGTCATTTATGAAAGTGTTTTGAGAATGTTATATGTATGTTTTAGGATTCACTTTGGATTGGATTGGAGTTCGAATTTTTGGACTCTAGCGTTTCCGTCATCGACAACATAGAGATTACCGTGTCGATCGAATGACAAACCAACGGGTCCATTGAGTTGGTTCGATTGTTCTCCTCTACCGTTTCCACCAACAATGACACTTGCTTGTGTGGCTCCTTTAGGCCAACGCATGATTCGATCATTCCCAAAATCAGCCACATAGACAGTGCCCAATTGATCGACAACGACTCCTCGAGCAAATGACAATTGTGTAAGACCATTTCCTTTTTCTTGACCACCAGCCACAACAATGCCTTGTTTTGCACGTTCCATCCATTTCATCACACGATCATTTCCAAATTCAGATACGTACACTGAATGTTCTCGATCGACGAATATGTATTCGGGGTAAGAGAGTTGATCGAGACGATTTCCATATCCATTGCCACCTGCAACCACTGTTCCTTGAGATTCTCCTCTTCGATATCGTCTCACTTCATCTTTTCCATAGGCAGTGACATAGAGAGATCCATTCTCGTCCATTGTCAAACCCAAACAAGAGATGTTGGAGATGATTGTTTCTCCACTTGTCCCATTTCGACGAGGCCATCGAACCACCCTTCCATTCGAACGATCGCATATGATGAGACTATCTCTCTCTTTGTCGATAATCACATCCGTTGGGCTATCCAATTGATGATTTCCACTTCCTTGTCCATTTCCACCGGCAACCACTTGGCCACTCGTTGCACCTCGTTTCCATCTTACAATACGGTGATTCGCTCGATCAGCAACATAGATTGTTTGATCATCATCAACATACAAACCAAATGGGTCTGAGAGTTGATGGATTCCATTGCCTTGTCGATTTCCTCCAGCTACAGTGATACCATTTTGTTGCCATCGAGCATTCGGATGAATGTTAGTGCTGGATGGAGATCGTAATGGATAATCTGAAATAGAGACAAGAAAAATTATTAAAATAAGAAAGAGAGAACTTTTCTTCACGGAAATCGGATTTCTACAACACGAGAAATCTTTTTTAGTCAAAGTCTAAACTTTATCAACAACAATTATTTTTTTAACACTTTTTGTTGTTTTTGTTTACGATGATAGAGATGTATAAAAAAGATGAAGACATTGAATGAGAAGTGTGGGCTTTCTTCTATGATTTTGCAACGAATTCATGTATAAAAATCATGGAATGATCAAACTAGTTTTTGGATATGTTACGGATCATCTCTTTCTTGGAAGCATGTCTTTTATTAATTTGTGTTGTTAATTATTTCAATCTTTAATTACTAAATAAGATTACAAGAATTATTTTAGAGAGTTTATCTTTTTCATGGTAAAATTATTAGTAGAAATAATCTCAAGATAAACATTGCTGATCTATGAAAAATCTCTCGAATTTTTGAAACAATATTCTATGAAATATATATGACATATTTCTTGTTTTACTTTCATTTGCAATTATCTCATCAAATTGTAAATGCAAGAAACATGTAACATTCGTCGGTTTGACTCGCTTTATCCTCGACTAAATATTCGGCTCATTCGCTACCTTATACTTCTTTGTAGCTCTCAACAAAGCGATTATCCAACATTTGAAAAAGCATGTGTGTGGATGCTGATACTAGTGTCAGTCTCCTGGTGCATGATGGTATGTGTGTCCATGTAAGAATTTTTGTCATAAACTCATCTCATCAAACTGGTATCCACACATCGATACTCAACAGAAATCTAAATGAACTACATACACTAGACAAAAGAGATTATATTTACAATTTACTGAAAGGATCACGAACAAGGAGGAATCGACTGATTTAAATCAGCTAAAACTCAAAATTAAATCCGCTAAATCATCTTAACTCATTTTAAATCACATAAATCACTTAAATTCATTGTAACTCAGCATAAATTATTTTAAATTAGTAGCTTTAAAAAATTCTTACAGTCGAAAGATATACTCGAACTTGATATTTTTGTTCAATCACTATTTAAGTTTTTTCAAATTATTTAATTAAAATCAAAAAATTCATACTAGCACACAGTCATTGGATATTTTCTTTATATCTTATAGCGTAGAACATATTTCTCTCTGTTCTACTAATGTAGAAAACATGTGATACAATTCACAATAAAATATTCTAACGAATACTTTTTCGTTCTTATATAACTAGACTAGAATGAAACAGACAAAGAGAAAATTCAATCCACCTCGTGTATCTAGCTGAAATGAAGCGATCCGAAATTTATATTATTTTTTATCTGCTGCCGTTCTTTAGATCGATTATTTTCATCTAACCATCTTTAGACAATAACAAATTTTTGTTTCTGAGGCAAAATTTCAATATTAAGTTGTTTATTATGACCGAATCCATCCGTGTGAATACTGGTACACTTCCAGTGAATATATTTGATTTACAACACGAGAAGTTTTACAATTTTGTTGAACTTCATTGTGGACTTATTCAAGCAAAAATTCTTAAACTTCAACTTATAAGCGATGCCAGTACTTTTATTGAATGTAATGATCCCATGGAAATTTTGCAACATAACAGCGAGAAGCTGAATGAACTGAAACATATAGCCTGTTTAATAACAAATGATGGAACCTGTATCGTTTTACCTGGCATCATCGCCTCATTTAAAAATTTGAAGAAACGTCTTCTCAAGAAGCTAGAAGAAGATATGAAAAAAACAAAAATTTTAATATGAATTCATTCACGTCATCTGGTACACCTATTGATAATCAAGTAAAATCCACTGATCAACTTCGAAAACATTTAAATACAATCATTTCTCAATGGTATCTTAATCATCGTGTTGAATATAATTTGATAAATGATAGTACACTAGAAGAAAATGTGGATTATAAGATTGAATTTAAAAATACAAGCAATGATGATCAATTAGCAATCATTACATGCGGCTGTGGATCTAGATTGACTTTAAGTTGAGCGAGTAACAACAGTTACTTTCAAGTGAATGTCTGTTTTTTCAATTTCCAATAAGAAGAATCTTCGATATAATTGCGTTGCATGCCGACCACGTACATGTGCAAAAAAGTTTTTTTTAAATATCACTTTCAAGATTTTTTCAACGATGAAAATTAATCTCTGTGATCCATTTATGGATATCTATTGATAAGATTCAATATAATTCTTTCAAATGAACAATACGAATGTTTCTGTTGATTTCATCGATTTGAACGTAAATAGAAAGCTATTGAAAACAGGTTTTAAAATGCATGAGATATACGAGAAACCGCTACTAAAACATATACAGGGTAGAAAGAGAAAATCAGTTAATGTAATTCTCGAACACTTTAGTTTTACGAATTCGAGAACCATATTCATAACTAAACCAAACAATAGTATTCAGTCAACACACTAAGATAAAATGTGTCGCATGTGTCGCACTTTGCGACACAATGTACGACACATTAATATGCGACACGAGGAGCTCGTTGCGACACATTTCTTCCAGCGGACGTACGACACATTCTTGTGCGACACATGCGACACATTTTTAACACGTGGTTCGAATCCATTTTTCGGCACGAGGATTATTTTTTTTTGAAAATTCGAATAGTTACTATTTTTTCAGTTAATTTCAAACAGTAGCACCTATTCTTGGAGTTCGAGACGGTAGATCTTAAGATCTAGCTGCCTCGAGACCATTTGATCTCGATCAGACTACTTCGAGGCAGTCCATTCTCGATCATCTAGCGACCTCTCGACATGTTCTCGAATAATAAATGGTCGAGAAATAATCTAGAAAAAAAGACATACGAAAATGTATAAGTCAAGTACGTCCAATAGGCTCGGTTATATGCAGCTGCACTCGCGAAACAAATCGGTGAATGAACGATTGACATATAGGCTATGACACATATATAATGCGACACATTTTTGTAATGGAGTCTGCGACACATTCTTGTACGACACATATATACGACACATTTTATTTTAGTGTGAAATACAACGTAAAATATTATAATGCGTATCAAGCTAAGTACAAGCGTCCATCTTTATGGATTTCTTCAAATATAGAAGAACTCAATTCGTCAGAAATCAGCTCACAGAAAATTCAATAGTGAGCTATTGTAGAAAGCATGATCAATTAAAAGAACAACGTATTTACAGTTCTCAATCTTTTAGAGAAAAGAAACAAGATATTATTATTGATCGTAATAGAACCCTATATTATTTATATTTCATTATGATTCCTTTTTTTATTAGTGCACTTATTCATAATGTTCTATGTCGTATGCAGATATAGGTTTATATATAAATACTTCTTTAATAACAGATTCTATTTTTCTGTGATCTTGTAGGTAATTATAAGCTTGACTATAATCAACATCAAGAATTTAGTTTAAAAATTTCAGGTTTTCTAATGGATTTAACATAAGAAACACTCTATTGGGGTGAAAATTTTATCAGGAATAAATTACTAGAAGAAACCGTAACTTTTTTCGAAGTTAGAAAGGCAACTTATTATTCTGCTCTTTTATTGTACAACATTTTTTTAAAATAATTCTATATTTCAGATGGATTTTCTTCTTCCTGCTAATGCACTGTTGCTTCGTGGAGATTCTTTTTACTACTTGATAGAAGATTTTTGTGGTAAAGAGGCCGTCGAATTACTTAAATTTCAGCTAGGGGTGAGAAGTTATTGTTATTTTTTGTTATTAATAACAATAACAACAACAAAAACAGTTATTGTTATCAATAACAAATAACAAAAAAAGTTATTGTTATTAATAACAATAACAAAAAAGTTATTTGTTATTAATAACAAAAAAATAACAAATAACTTTTTTTTTCGAAAAATCTTAGTTATGCTTTGTTACTATATAACAGTATACCAGTTCTATTTGCTCATTATTGTCCAATTGCTCGATGATGTTACTGACCGCAATCTTCGTTAGATAGCCTATGAAACTGAGAAAAACCTTAAAAAGATCTTTTCAAGTATCTTGCTCACCTACAGGTAAAATTTACTAATCGGTTTACGAGGAACGATTCCTCAATGTTCGATTATCTTTGACTTGATGTTTTGGTCAAATAAAAGTCTTTGCGAAATGAGATTCTAGGTGCCATTTTTCAAGTTATGATCTGTACAATCTTTCTAGACATTTTCTCATCTCTTAAAGGCTTATATTTGACCAACGCATCAAGTCAAAGACAATTGAGCATTGAGGAATCGTTCTTCGTAAAGCGATCAGTAAATTTTGCCTATAGATGAGCAAGATACTTGAAAAGATCTTTTTAGGATTTTTCTCAGTTTCATAGGCTATCTAATGGAGATTGCGGTCAGTAACATTATCGAGCAATCCGACAATAATGAGCAAACAGAACTGGTATACTGTTACATAGTAACAAAGCATAACTAAGATTTTTCGGAAAAAAAAGTTATTTGTTATTTTTTTGTTATTAATAACAATAACAATAAATTCACACCCCTAATTTCAGCTGATCGATTCTTCAATGGATTTGATTGAAGTCGATGATGTCTTCTTCATTCTTCAAATCGAATCAACTCAAACAACATCAATCAAAGAATTTTTGAGTATTCCAACCAAAAACAATTTAGGAAACTATTCATTTTTTGTTATGGCTGGTATTCGCGTGAAACTCGAAAAATTTATTCGTTCGCTGCGTGCTCTTCTTTCATCTACTGATCCTTCATCGTCAGTAAACATCAAGCCTTTAACAATTTCATCTGAACTTCTTCAGCAATATCCGTTCTTATTAGATCTCATATATTGTCTAGAAAGGCATTTATTAACAGATTTTTCATTGGATTTTATATCAAATATGTTATCAAACATCATATGTTCAAAAAATGCCTTTCGCTATGAACAATCGGTGAAGAAATTCGCTGTCTCCCTATACATTCTAGGAGGCCGTACGGTTTATGAATTCATTCGGTTGAATAGTCCAGGATCGATTTCTAGTTTTAGTATTTTACGATCAATTTTGATAACTTCTAAAAAGCATTTCATTGAAGGTGAATTTCAATATGAACGTTTTAAGGGCTTTATTGATTCATTCGACTGTAAGTACGCATTCTGTGGAGAAGACAGTACTGCGGTGATACCAAAAGTTTCTTATGACTCACGTTCGAACTCTTTTGTTGGGTTTTCCACTTCCTCTGAAAGACGGTTTTCCTTGTCCATGCTACCTTTCTACCAGTTCATTTGGTGAACTTGAAACTTGGTATGAAGAAATAGACAAATCATCTCTTATCAATGTACATGTGATTCAACCAATATGTCCTATCGGTCAAATATCACCACCGCCATTCCTTCTTGCTGCTTACGGTATCAACAGTAAATATACAGCTAAAGATGTTCTCGATTGATGGTCAAGTGTTTTTGATTCATGTATGAATCAAAATATTCGAATTTTAGGCTTCTCAGCAGATTGTGATCCAAAACAAATGAAAGCAATACGGGACTCCATGAGATTTGAAGAACATCCTAATCGTTTCGAAATTTCTTTACTAAAAGTGAGGGAACAAGTATAATTAGTTTCATATGAAAAAGAAAATCAATCGGGATTCGTGTAAACGATTATAATTGTACGGATTGATGATTTTCTTCATATTACTTAGAGGATAATAAATGTCTTCGGTGTCTATTTATAGGTTGACGAAGTATTTATTCTCATATAAATCTATTTTATTTCTTGAGAAATTAAAAATAGTACAATAATCACTTTCAATTATCGTTCTTAGAAAAAAAAAATCTGAAAATATCTTTCATCAGCTATCACCTATCATTGAATTTTTCGGAAAACAATATTAGTATTCCAGTACAATAAAAACAATGTTCAAGCACATGAATTTATTCTCATTCTTGTTTCCCATTGTTTAGAAAACTTCATGGTTTTTTTTTTGAGATCATCACAGCTATTTGTATGTTTACAAGATGCGCCACATTTATGTACTAAGCTGCGCAACCGTCTTTTGTCTTCAAAAACAATTTTATTAATAGGAAAAAGATATGCCAGCATTAAACATCTCGTGGAATTGATTGAGAACCATTCAAAGATCGATCATGGATTAGGCATATCAGATGTTTGCCCACAGGACAAACAAAATTATTCATCCTGCGAAAAGATCACGAGTGATGCTGTTTTTTCTTCTATTAAAAATGTTTCGAATTCTCAAGCAACCCAAGCTTATCTACAAGTAATATTTTTTGCTTTTTCTAAGTATGGAGTCGTTAGATATGATATAATCGAGGTAGTTCTCTTTCAAAATATTATGTATGACATAACGAAAGTTGTTTAAATGTTTTCGCTACCTCATTACTGAGTACTGCTGAACGATCAAATTTTATTAATTTCATTTTGATAGGTTATAACATGTGTCCGTTTGGCCTTTATCGACAAAAGCACTAATATAATTGATCTTCTTTACTATGCTTGGTGTTCAGTTTTTATTATACGGATCTGATCTGCGTGGTTACACGAGACAGCGGCTGATGAACTTAAGGAGAGAGCTTCGAATTTGCTCTCAAGTGATGCTGGTAGAATTATTCCAAAAAAGAAGTTCTTTATCACAGTACCTGCTCTTTTCTCACTCGAACTGAATGCACAGAGCCTGACGTATCTGATTGTTCTGTGGACTGAACAGAAAATTACTGAAGAAGCATTAAATATTTTTTTATGTAATTCACAAGTATGCGAAAGTACTTTCCGTGCAGCTCGTTCGATGTCCGGTCCATTTTCATCTGTGGAGAACTTTACTGTTCACGAGTTTCTTCAGCGTGTCGAGAAACTCGCTGTTCTTCAAAGTGTCAAGTGTTCGTCTGAATCCAAGAACAATAATATTAGATTTCCCAAACATCACAAACAATCTAAACAACATTTTCAAGTACACTCAACGTCTACAATATCAACTACGATTACAGAACAATTGATTGAAGAAACAGTTTTTGATGCTT